ACGCCATTCTCACCAAGGTGCAGCAGCTTGCTTTCGTTATTGGAGGGTCTCCCCCCCCACCCCCACCCCCAGCCATTCTGGAGGGACTTTTCAGCAGCTCCCAGCCTGTTTATTTTGCAGAAGTCATACTGAGCAGAGGAATTCCCAATAATAAGCCAAGAGTGTAAATCTTCTCTTGGAAATGAGGGATCAAAAGGAACCTTGGCTACCGGACTCTTTTAAAATGTCCCGTAAAGCGAAACATTCCACTGAGTGCAGGCACATGAGAGGACTACCACACACACTGTCGTCCGCCCTGTCATTGGCACCGCCTCGCCAGCACAAGCGTATCTGCAGACAGGAGCCGCCACAATGTTTATCGCACCTCTGCCTAAGCACACACCAAACAAAATGGCAGAACTGGCAAGCCGGGTAGGTCCGACGGCAGCCCGCAAGCTATTAAAAAGCAGCATTGAGACTTCACCACTTCATGGCATGCTACCGTACCTTCACATCCCATGACACTGAGAAGACTTTCAACTTGTTCCATCAACAAACAGCTGCAGAGTGTTTAGAAGGTTGCCAGTCAGGCTTTCCAGTCCAAGGACTGGTAGCTGGTAAAGCTTTCGCCCAGCCACTGTTGAACCTGACCTTCAGGAGGTATCTATTCTAAGAAACCAACCACTGGGCGCTCTTGCGGACCATCCTGCTCAACAAAGAATCACTAACATGATCTTCAGTTGACTGGGGAGGCTATCTCTGAGGTAGTGCATCATGGTTCGTCAATTCTGGTCCTGGAGGGCCAGAATCAAACACAGTTGGCAGATTTCCCTGCACATCTTACTCAGCTGATTACCAGGTTTAGAAGGTTTGTTTGAACAGAGATATCTACAAACTGTGTGGGGTTCTGGCCCTCCAGGACTACAAATGGTGAACCCTGATCTAACGTCTAGTAGAAGCTTCAAACCACTACTAAGAAAATTTGACTTATGTAAAGTAAACATAGGCTGTGACTTCAGGGTTTCTGAGGTAAAAGGACGAAGAAACCATAATGCCCAAGCATCACAGGAGAGCTTTGAGTCTGATGCAGAGAGGGTACGGGGTCGCCTTTGGCTAGCTTTCCCCATCTTTAATGGTTTATGGATACAGCTGAAAGAGGATTTGCAAGGGCAGAGTCCTACAAAGACAATGGTCCTCCAGATATACAGTCAAAAAACTGTCCAAGACCTTAAATACATCTGGAGAAGAGTGACCAACTGCTCACTATTCTGAGAACATGAAAAAAATGGGTGAAAGTCTGAGAGAAGCTTCAAGAGACAACAGCATCAACGCAAGACCAAAAGAAAAAAAAAAATGAAATAGAGAAAATGTAAACAAAAATATGTGCTTAAAGGCAACTATGGTAACAATATATTTCCATAACGATGGCAAAGGAAAGTATGACATAATACGCTACACAAGTGGTTTCAGAAAGCATTTGAATACAAAGCATGTTGACTGCCAATCAAAGTAAGCACACAAATGCATTTTCTTTCCAGTCTACACATCAATACCCTTGCAGTTTCCTTCTACAGCGTGTCTTGGGGTAATGCAACAGACAGAGCTGCCGGAAGCTGGCCACCTACATCTGAAATTATTTTCTGGTTTTCAAGCTGGGGAAGTAAAAAAGAATTAAACATTTCCATGTAAAGTTGCTTAAATGTTCCTAGCATCACTGCCATTCAAGTTCTGGTAATTCACTGTAATTTCAGAATGCTAAAGGTTTAAGGGATACTTGATTTGACGAAGCCACTTCTTAAAAAACCTCCCAAAATATTTAAAGAAATGCCTGTTGTTAATTACCTATGGAACTGAGTCAAGTGCGTGCAAATCCTATCTTTATAAACATGATTTCAGACATTAGCTAGAGGCAAAGAGACCTTCCAGAAGCCATAATTGCAGAGATTTTCCCATAAAGATGGGCCTATAGCCAGAGAAACTCACTTAATGTTAACTGTGGATGAACTAAGACAGAAACAGGACAGTTAAAAAAAAAAAATTGAAAAACCTTAGACAGAAACCATACAAAATCTTTAGATGAAGAAAAATAGTTCTTATTCACAGTAAAGAAAGCGACGATTCCATCATTCATAGCACAGTGGTCTAGTGTACTAAAGTAATTGCAAGGATGTCCCTTTCAATCATACTAATGAGGTCAGCTTTCTTGTAATAAATTCTTGGTACATCCTGATAGATGCTGGGAACATTTCAATGAAAATAAACCTTATGGTGCTGAAAGCAAGTGTGAGTGCAATACATATTAAACAGAAATATTCAAAGGGTTAATGAGGTCAAATTTTGCTATTCCAATTTGAGCTTGTTCATTTGAGCAAATAAAAATAATTTTTATACACTGTCTTTCATTGAGATATTTCTGCACTCTTCCGACAGATTTTCCCAGAGTCATCCAACAGCCTCTCCCCATTACTGCAAGATTCATAGCTGCTCTGCAGTGCCTCAGATTTTGTTTTGCTAATTTCCCATAGCTCTCTACATGGGCAGAAAAATCCAATACATCACATCAGATTTAGGATCATTTTGTAAACCAGGACTTTGCAATCCATCTGCAGCTACAATAATCATATCTTGGGGATCATGCAGAATCTACATCTGCTGTACCAGTTTTTAAAACTCCATTTCCATCCAACAACTGTGGGGGGATAATCCCGAAAACTGCCAAACAATCTGCCAGGCTCTTCCCAACTTACGCCTCTGCATGGTCCAGCCAAACAGCCACTCTTTTTGAGTGCCCTGTCTCTAACGTGCACGTGAGGGATCAATTGTCTGACAATTGTGTCAGACAATTCTGCAGACACTTCCTCAGGTTTTAACAATATTACAAATTACCTAACAACAAATTACCTAACTTTTCTGGGTCTATTTAAATTTTTTTTTATTAGTTCTAGGAGTCAGAAGACATCACTCATAATATATGTACCTCTGTATACTATACAGAAAATAAAGTTGAATTGAACTGAACAACTTTGGCTGTAACTTGGATATATTCTATAGTGATAAAATGATGGAAGGGGACAACTGTAACCTGAACTGAATCATAATACATAAACATATGCAGAGCACAGATAACAGGAAAGGTTTTTGTGGTCTACAGCATCCCTCAGTCGTGCAACTCTCAAACACTGACTGCAAACTATAATCCCAGACATGAGAGAATCTTCAAGATTCTGTGAACGCCACACTCACGTATATATATTGTCAGTTATACTTTTGCATCCAACCTAGCAATTAAAAATGGTATACCACATGCGTCTTTTTCAAGTTAAATTAAAAGTCTGCATTTAGACTGGCAAAATAAGTAAAACAGTATAGCATGATTATTTAAGTCCTGTAAACTTACATGAAAATGGAATACACAGTTATGTATCATTACATGGAGCATGACAGTAATTCAGCCTGATTTTGATTCTGTCCTCGCATGTGCATTGAGAGAAATCTTCGTGGAGTCAAATATGCGATCACATCGTCGCTGGTTGGCTTTGCTATCTTACCCTTGAGCGAGGTGTCTGAACGCACCGAGTTACGTCAATGGAAGTGCAGCTGTATAAATAGGTTAAGCGCAGAACTGTAAACGGACCAAATTGCTTCTGATAAAAGCACACGCTGAACACACAAACCCAGTAATGTAATAACGCAATATTTTACCACAGCCTTTCACCGTCCGTTTCCCCTCCCCAAGGTCTCGACAGAAATCACAGGTTCCGCTTACCTGACTGCGGTACCAAATGGCTCTGCAGGGTTCTAGTGCAATGAGAAGCCTGAGAACATCTCTGAGAGGGGATATCACATGGACACGGATCTGGCAAACCCGCCTGCAATTTATCAGACACCTGCAGGTAGGAGTCACAATGAAAACAGCACAGCGAAGGCGAGTCCGCCATTTGCTGTTCGACGAGGAGCCAGAGCCGGTCCAACAGAAGTACGGTTAAAAACATACAGACTTACGGAGCTTTGAAAGCCAATCAGCCAAAGGATTAACTGAAACAACTTTTTTCTGTGGCCACTCTTGTTTTTAAGAGAATGTAGATGGCCAAATACTTAAATAAATAAATAAAATAGCATAACACAGTCCACACCTGGATAAGCAGTTAGAACAACAGAAAAATTGACAGAAGGATGACTGGCGCTGGGTCAAGGTCAAGGAAGGACCACCTTAAACCTCCCTGAGCTACAGAGATCATCTTCCTTTCCTTAATGAAATTATTGGTCTGGTCTGCAACACTACCAAGAAGGGCAACATGTCATCAACCCAGAGAATACAGACCTGGACTGAACCTTCAAGTCCTGTAGGAGCACAAATCAGGCAAAATATACAAAGAAGCCACAAAATACGCTCACATTTCCACCGATTACTTAGTCCTTAACGTTACCGGGCAGGTTTTACGGAAGGGGGAGGTCCAAGCCATCCATCTGCAGAAAAGTGCTCACCGGGTCCGAAAATCATAACCGCGATTATTATTATTAGCATAAGGTTCCACTCCATAACAAGGGGGCAATAAATCATTGCCCACACTGATAAAGACCATGAGGCTACGGCTCCACTTCTAGCCTTTTCAAAAGAACATGTTATTTTCTTGGCCTGTTCCAAGGCTAATACCCCTGCAGCTTTGATTATAAAACTGTCAAAAGATATCAGCAGGTATCGCAGGCCATCAAGAAAGCCCACCGACTCCGGCGTAACCAGCTCTACGTAGCTTCCGGGACAGAAAAGGCCCCCCATTCACTGCTGAAACACTGAGCTGTCTATGCTATCCCACGCTAAGACAAATGATCTGAGCAGGGGGCGGGAAACCGCACCTCAGGGCCCTGGCGGTGGGGGGGTGCCTGACGTTCCTCGGTCATTGTCCGTCTGAGGCGTAATTGAGCGGGGTCTTTCCTGGGCAGAGGGGCTCATAGTCCCCCCCCTGGGGATATTTTTTGGCTTCCCACGAATCTGCTGTGGAACGACGGGCAAATGAACGCACCTTAAATTCCTCCACGATTATGGCCAAAGACTCGTGTCCTGCTTTCCTCACATCCTCGAGGGCTCCGTCATGCTTTTCCTGGAGGCAAAAAAGACGCATGAATGAGCACAAGACAAAAGGGGAGGGTGATTTGCAGCAGTAAACAGAAAACAACAATCAATAATACAAATTATTTATTATATTTATTATCTCCAAATGTTCACAGCTCCTCTTCAAACCATTTTTATTACAGTAAAACTCTAACAACATGGAATTCGCAGATTTAGAAGATCCAGTTTTCTGGGGGGAGTAAAGAACTTCAAGTGCATTTTCCTGACTATCAATAAAATATCTGAAACCGAAGCCGTCTGGCTGTAACGCAGCCAGTCCATCCATCTGGCAGCCAACTCAAACGGTGAGATGACAGAGCAGGGATTCAGAATCATGGTGCAGGTCTGACCATGACACAAAGGAGTGTCCCGGAAGATGACGTCCTTTTTATTTCTAGATAATCACAGTCGTCAAACAAAATGTCTGCTACCATCTCCACTTCTAAGCATTCATTTCAGTCCCTAATAATCCTATATAAAGTATTGTGTAAAAATAGGTATAATACAGTGAGTTTGGAGCAATGTTTTCCCTTTTAAGGTGCACTTCTAATCAGCAGAACCTTCCACAACACAATGGATTCTTTAACTTACTCATTATAGCCGTTGTAGCTGATCTTATTACTAGAATTACCACCATTTCACAGAAAAAATGAAATGCTTCATGGTTCATTTTTTATTATGATCTTAGAATAAGTACGGACTTCATGCTCCACACAAAATCGCCTCTCTTCTGGGCACGTAAGCCATATGGCTTGCATTAAAACACTTACAGTGCATTCAGTGAGCCCGAGCTTGTCATCAGAACGGAGGGGGGATGAAAAATGCTGCACTCTCGCCTGCTGCTAAAGGCATCCGCCCCGGGCGGCTCCATGGGAACGGAAGCGAGGCCCCCGGCTCAGAGACCTACAGGTAGGCAGGAAGCGGCCAGGCGGGCCGGCCTCTGCTTCATGGCGATGGGCCGTCCGGCTTTCCGCCAGGGGACAGACGGGGCCCAGCGAGCAGGAAAGGCATGCTGAAACCTGCCTGTTTTTACGGTGCTATTTTCCCGGCGGTTACTGGGGGCCCGAGCCTCACGTCTCCCACCGCAGCGACACACATCTCAGCGCCAGCCTAAAGGTCGTGGCAGTGGCTCTCGACGTAAGAATTGCAGATTGGAAGCACAACTTTGGAAGTTTGTGCAGCATTTGAAACTCCTCCCTTTGCTGACTGACATGTCCACAGGTGGATGCTGTGGACTGGGACTCGGGGACACCCATACCTCATTCAGTTGCTAACAGCTACCATCTTACATAATCTTTGTGGGGGATGGGGGGGGGGTGCTACACAGAGAAGGCAGGATCTCCTCAGGGGAACCCCCTTTATTGGGGCCCATGAGCTGGCAGGGGCTAATACAGGTAGCAACATAGCAACCCCACTGCCATCCACCCATCAAACCATCTATTCAGTTACTGGAGACTAAGGGTTATGGCAGCGTAAGACACTAAGAGAAAGGAGCAAGGGAGCGGGTCTCTGATTAGCGACTAACTTTTCTACATTTATTGATTTTCTTGCATCACCTATTTAACTTCTAAATACTTTGTGCTTACTCATTGAACCACCTTACAACGTAAAATGTCTGGTCCAGAGTCAAAAAAGGCAACTGAACATACTACTTTACACAAAGCCAGCATAAGTAGCAAGCTAGCAGTTATGGCCAAAGCTGATACCAATGAGCTGTCTATGGACCCGCTGGTCATTGAGCTTGCTAAGCGATGAGTTAGTATCAACGAGGACACAATTCCAAGTTTAACATCCACTGAGGCAGTTTGTGAGACTACCAACACATTTGGAAAATTACTTACAATGGAATGATAGCTCCGACAGAATCGCAAAAGCCATAGAAGCCATAGAGAGCCTGAAAGCTGCCATCAAAATGCAGATGAATAAAGGATCATTTGGAGAACCGATCGCACTGTTTAAACTTGCGCATTATAGGCATACCTAAAGACGAGGAGTGTGGAACTAATGTAACGAAGTTTATGGCAGACATGCTGAAAGTAGCTGTATTTTTAATGAGTCACCAGAAATTCAGAGAGCTCATCGCTCACCTGCCGCAAAACCCAGAGAGCACCAGACACCCAGACCTGTGATCATCCTGTTTCTCTGCTTTCAGGATAAGGGGGGGGCTTTATGCTGAGCTGATTCATCATTCTATTTGGGCTTCTCTTTCATACCCCTGTGTCACTGACCAATGTGTGTGCTCCAAACTGGGACAATACTGCTTTCGTTAACAATATTATCTCCATACTCCCCAAATTACACTTGCGTTATTTAGTATTTGGTGGGAATTTGAAATGTGTAATAGATCCAAGGCTCCAAGGCTCCATCCCCAACAATCATGTTATCTTTGTTTATGAGGCGAGCTGGAGGCATTGATCCATGGGGGCTTCTTTCCTAAGAAAAATTAGTTTTCATTCATGCCCCTGTACTTCTAAATATTTCATTTGCACTTGGTTATGCAGAACGCCCTTTTTGGAGGTTCAACACAGCTTTATTGCCTGACAGTATGTTTTGCAGTAAAATTTCAAGTAGAAATGGTAACTTTCTTGAATCCAAAGGATCTGACAATTTCTCCATCCACATTTTGGGAGACTCTCAACATGGTAATTAGAGGGGACGCAATCTCTTACTCTGCCTACCACAATAAACAAAAAGAGATAAAACAACAACTTGTGGATGCAATTAAAGAAATAGACTTAAAATACTCAGTTATTCCATTACCCATCTATATAAAGACAGACTTGGTCCTTTAAACATGAATATAATTCACTCTCAATTGACAAAATTGAACAGCATCATCTTCACTCACAAGGATTTGTTTACGAGCTTGGAGATAAAGCATGTCGTCTTTTAGCTCACCAGATAAAATGATTTATTCCGCAAATCTACAACCATCTACTTCCTAGCAGCTCACTGTGAACCCCAAGGAAATTAACACGATATTTCAACCTTACTATTCAGATTTGTTCAGATCCGAGTCACCTAGACAGCTGTGTAATGCAAGAGTACTTTTCAAATCTAGAAATTCACACAATAATTCCAAATCAAAAATCTGAAATTGATAAATCATTGCAACTTATGGAAATCATGCATGCAATTAAATTAAACATCTTTGGTGGCTACCCTGTTGATCACAGTTGCCCCTTTACTCTTTGATAGGTTTAATGATTCGTTTGGTCACAGTGCACTCACTCGTGGGCTCACAGAAGCTTGCTTTTCGTATTTATTTTACTGGGTAAGGATGTTTTGGAATGTAGCAGATATTGCCCAATTTAGCTTTTAAATTCAGATGCTAAGATACTAGCTAAACTGCCAGCCATGCGTATTGAGTCATCTATTCCAAGGATTATCTCATCGGACCAAGCTGGCTTTATGAAATATCATCACTTTGTCTAATATCAGACATCTTCTCACCATCATTCATTCCTCTGGCTCCCCAGACATCCCCAAAGAGGTAATCTCCCTGGATGAAGAAAAGACACTCAACAGTGCTCAATGGGAATATTTCTTCTTTGTCTTGGAGCGGTTTTGGCAACTATTTTATCTCACAGATTCAGCTTTTGTACTCCTTACCAAAGGCATCTGTTCTTACAAACTGGCTCTGGTCTCATTACCTTACACTAGCCAAGGGCATTCGACAGGGTTGCCCACTAAGTCCCCTGTTATTCAGTCTGGCTAAGGAACCCTTGCCTGTCAAGCTTAAGGCCACACCCTCGATACAGGGCATTCACAGACATGGGCATTCACAGACATGGGCATTCACAGACATGGGCAGGATAATCAGGTCTCTCGCTACACAGATGGCTTATTACTGCATGTCTCAGATCCCAAAACATTTTATTTAATAAGTATAAACTTACTTCATATTTTGGTACTTTTCCAGAATCTAAAGTGAATTTTTCTAAGAGTACATGTTTCCGATAAATGAATTGGCATTACAACTCTCCACAAACATGTTACCTTTTACTATGTCAAAGCCTGGTTTTAAATACCTTGGTGTTTATATTACTTGATCCTCTTCTTCATTACATGAGTGAAGACTTTACTCCCCTCGTTAATAATCTAAAACGATTTTCTGTGATGACCCACACTACAGCTTTCCCTAGCAGGTAGGGTTAGCTGTGTAAAGATGAATTTTGTGCTAACTTATTCCAATGCATTCCAGTTTTCTCACCCGAATTCTTTTGTTCATTAGATAAGATGATTTCCTCCTCCTTACAGGCAGGCCATACCCCTAGAGTATGCAGTACTCTGCTCCAGAGAAACAGACTGCAAAGTGGATTGGCCCTCCAAACTTCATGTAGCGTTATTGGGCAGCTAACATGTAGAAAGTTATTTACTGGGATCATTCACCAGATGTAATGCGGTGTCACGAAGAGGACAGGTCCTGTGTCCCCTCCTCTCAATAAAGTCTTTGGGGACAGTGCATGGCTCAGCAGGCTAAGCCTCTGTGCCTGTAATTGGAAAGTTGCTGGTTCGAGCCCAGCCTCAGCAAAATATTCACATCCATCTGCCCTAGATGGAGGTCCTTAACCTCCAGCTGCCAGGGTACAAATTTTCATTTTACAGGGTGGTTTGGGAAAACTTATTCATTTTCATGACAGAAGCACTACCTGATTGGCTAGTGAATGCCTTACAGTACCTACCCTTCTGTTACTCTCTTCATACATCACATCCAGCCATTATATCTACATTTAATATCTGGACTCAAATCTGCCAACATTTTAAACTAACCAAAGTTTCTTTATTTGCAAAAACACCTACTTCTCCCTTCTAAACTAGACTCTGTATTCAGTTCCTGTAAAAGAAAATTCCTTTTGAAATTTACTTCTCTCAATATTAAACAGTGATGCAACACTTTAATTAGTAACACTTCTGCAATAAGAGAAAACACTAAACATTTGTGCTTAGTAACCCTTTGGGAGCCAATGACGATAATTGCAATTAATA